CCTGGAGCTATCGGGGGAGGGGGGTGGAGAGTGACTGCTAACAGGTGTGGGGTTGCTTAGCAGAGCAATGGGAGTCTTCTGGAATTAGATCACGGTGACGGCCGCACAACATCAACCCATGAAACTGAACTGTAAAACAGTGTATCCTGCGGTCACTGAAGTAAATTGTAATTTTTAAATGTCCAAGAAGGAGTAGGACCTATAAAGCAGGACAGTGGAGGGTTAAGCAGCATGAAGGCTGGGAGCTGTGCCTGGCACAGGGTAAGCACTCAGACGCAGCGCTATGCTAGGACAAATCGCACTCACACTGGCTTTCTGCCCGAATGCAAGGGGGATGATAGTGGACGAAGGGGCAGCTGCTATTACGATTCTTAAGCAGCAACCCAGCTGAGCCACAGTGCCACTGCACACAGCAGTTAGGGCATGCCACCTCCCTTCTGTCTCGCCAAGAGCCGTTTCCATAGCAACAGCATCAGCTCAGGGTAGGGGCTCCCATTCCCAGTCGGTGACAACATCGCCTCAGCAACCTGTCAGGGTGGCAAAGGCAGGTCCTGAGGATGGGACTGTAGCTCTGGCAGAAGAATTGCTGAGGGACCCTTGTCTCCATAGCAACCGTGTCAGGAAGGAGAGGGAGGAGGAGAGGGCAAACAGCAAATAAACAGGATCTGGAACATCAGAAGGGTAGACCAGGCTTCAGGCAACGGTTTCCCAGGGAAGAGAACTGGTTTCTTCAGTGACTACTCTGTGTCAGGGTCAATTCTAGGCTTTTTACATTAAACATCTAAAGTTTACATTTAAAGTTCCATGAGTAGGGCTGTGGGGCAACTTAGTGGGTAAAGGCACCTGGCACCAAGCTTGATGACCTGAGTTTGATACCTGGGATCCTTGAGATGGAAGAAAAGAACCAACTTCTTCAAGTTGTTCTTTGACCTCCACACACCTGCTGTGAACACAGACACAGACAGACACACAAGATACACACACAGACACACAGACACAGACACACAGACACACAGACACACACACACACACAAGAAAGGTATGGCTTCTTTAAATTTATTTGTTTTTGTTTTTCTTGTTTTTTTGAGACAGGGTTTCTCTGTGTAGTCCCTGCTGTCCTGGAACTCACTCTGTAGACAATGCTAACCTCAAACTCACAGATCCATCTGCTCCTGCCTCATAAGTGCTGGGATTAAAGACATGTGCCAAAGTTTTTAAATGTAGTTAAAAAAATTAATCTCACAAATGACACCTAAGTATGCTTTGGTGTGTTCTTAAAAGGGTCTTACTATGTTATCCAAGGTGGCCTTAGCTTCCTAAAATTAAGCTATCTTCACCCTCAGGTTGTCTTGTAATGGGACTATAGAAGTACCCATGGTGTCTAGCTTAAGTACTTTTTTTGAGGCACTTTCTCCTGTATCCCAGGCTGTCCTCACATTCACTATGTAGCCAAGGATGACTCCGAGTTCATGTCTCCATCTCCCTGAGTGCTGGAATTACAGATGTGTGTAACCACGCCCATTTTATCAGTAATTATTTTGAATCCAGGATCTTATTTATCCTAGGCAAGCACTCTACCAACTAAGCTATATTAACAGTCTATTCCCAGGCCTTTTTTGTTTGTTTTTGTTTTGTTTTGTTTGTTTTTCGAGACAGGGTCTGTGTACCTTTGGCACCTGTCCTGGAACTAGCTCTTTGTAGACCAGGCTGGCCTCTAACTTGCAAAGATCTGCCTGCCTCTGCCTCCCAAGTGCTGGGATTAAAGGCATGTGCCATCACTGCCCAGCCCCGAGTCCATTTTTTATTTCTTTTGTTTGTGAGACAGTCTTGCACTGTAGCCCAGACTGGCCTCTAATTCACATTAATCCCCATTGGCTCTGGCTCCCAACTACTGGGACTGTACATTCTGATTATTCAACCCCCTGGGGGTCTGAAGAGATGACTCAGCAGTTAGGAACACCTGCTACTCTTGCAGAAGAATAGTTCAATTCCCAGCTCCCACATTGAGCAGCTCACAACGGCTTACTGCTCCAGTTCAGGGATTCCAATGTCATCTGGCCTCTGTAGGTACCTGGACACACATGGTGTGCACAGACATACAAGCAGGCGCACAGACACACACACACACACACACACACACACACACACACACACACACACACAGAGCCTAACTTCGGGCTGGTGGTATAGCTTGAGTCCACCCTGCCCTGGTATGTATGAGATCTCAAAATAGCTTGTGGGATTTTTCAATATAAACAGTTCTATAACATTCGTTTTTGTCTCTAGTGGGTCTCAAATCCTGGGTTTCATGTGTGTTAACCAAGGGTTCTATTACTGAGCAATGTTCCCAGCCCTTTATGACACTTTTTTTTTTTTTTTTTTTAAGAAAGGTCTCATGAAATCACCTAGGCTGGGGCAGGTCCAGGACGTGATATCCTTTTAACCTTTTGGGTAGCTGGGATAAGGGATCTGGCCACCAGGCCTAGCTTCCTAATTTCCTTCTCTGGTTTACAACATACCTTGGAGACCTTCTCAGACCAGCACATACTTTTCTACTTTTTAAACATGTGGTAAAGATTATAGCATATAAATTTATCATCTTAAAACAATCTTTTTATGATGGTAAAATAGGTTTAACATAAAGTTACCGTTTCTGACTTTTTGCTTTTGTTTTTCTGGTGCCAGGATTCGAATCCAGGCTCTCCTTTTGAGACAGGGTCTCATATAGCCCAGGGTGGCTCAAACTCACGGTGGAGCTGAAAATGACCTGAACTCCTGATCCTCCTGCTTTTTTTTTTTTTTTTTTTTTTTTTTTTTTTTTCCTGGGACAGTAGACAGTAGGTGGCAATACCATATCCTTCTTAAATTTACTCACTGTGTATGACCACAGGCACCATCTGTCTCCAAAACCCCTTCCATTGCTCTGAACTGAAACTCTGCCCCCACCCCCACCTAACAGTAAGCCCTGGTTCCCTCCTCCCCTGCCCAGTACCCCTCCACCCTGTCTTATGAATCTGAATCTCTAGGATTCTCAGATAAATGGAACTTTACAACATTTATCCCCACATATCTGGCTTCTTTCACGTGGCAAGGTGCTTTCAAGGCCCATGCAGGGGCTATAGTATGTATCAGCTCTTCAATCCTCCAGGTTAAACAACCGTCCCACACACATGTACACCTGGCTTTGTATATCCATCCACCCACCACTCAATATTTGATTGCTTCTGTCTCCAGGCTACTGTGTGCGAATAATGCTGCTATGAACATGGAGGTCTGAACATCTATGTGTCCTTGCTCTCGGTTCTTTGGGATATACTGAGAACTAGAACTGCTGGGTGATGCAGTTCCTTAAGGTTCTGAGAAATGGTCACATGACCTTATTCTTTGTAACTTCTTCATAGTATTCCATAGTCACTCAAAAGGTTTCCTTTTTCTTTTCTTTTTGGCCCTAAGAATTGAACCCAGGGGCCCCTCATATGCCAGGCACACACTCTGCCACTGGGCTGCATCCCTGGTCCCTCTGGTTATACAAATGTCCTTGTAAATTGGTGCTACTTGTATCCTGACATCATAGAGCAGTGTTTCTCAATGCGTGGGTCATAACCCCTTTGGGGTTGAATGACCCTTTCACAGGGGTCACCTAAGGCCATCAGAAAACACAGATATTTTCATTATGATTCATAACAGTAGCAAAATTACAGTCATGAGGTAACAATGAAAATAATTTTATGGTTGGGGTCACCCCAACATGAGGGAATGTATTAAAGGGTCGATTGCAGCATGAGGAAAGTTGAAAGCCACTGTCTTAGAGGACGAAACTGAGAATTGGAGAGGGGAAGTGGCTTCAGTCACATCTCTGCTGAGGAAAGTCTGGGGCAAACTCAACAAGCTGCAGCTGAGGGCCTCAGTTTCCCTATCTGTGCAAGCAGAACGGGCTGTGAAACAGGGTACTTTATAACAGCCCCTTCTCTTCACCATCAGAGATGGGGGCAACAAGACTGTGCCACAGATGGCGCCCAGTGCTATAGGCAAGCAGGAAACTACATGAAGGGAGGAACACACACACACACACACACACACACACACACACCCGCTCCACAGCACGATGCATGCCACAGCAGCCCTTAGGGCAGAAATTCCCCTCTCCAACTCACCCAGTGTGAAGGGCAGCCAAAGGACTGCTGTGTCCTTGGGAAGCAAGTAGGTGTCCCAGAAAATGTACAGCCTGGGATGCCTAATGAGCAGCCAACCAGCTGAGGAACAGGCTACATCTCCATGACCAGAGGCCACCTAGTGTTTGGACCACAGACCCCTCCTGGAATTAGGAGGTATTTAGGCTTAACCATCACCTAGGCTGATGGTGTCCCACTGGCCTTCTGCAAAGTCCCCAGCAGCCTGCCTGACCTTGAGAACCCACCTCCCTCTCCCGGAAGGAAGCTGTGTGCTCAGCTGTGAAATGCTGAAATTCGGCACAGCTTTGCTGGGCCTTCGCAGAGATTTCTGAGATAAACTGTGCTCATGTGAGCCTAACTCACAGCTGGAGGCAGATACAGCAGGAGGAGAGGCTGACATCTGCCAGGATGGGGGACATGGTGTCTGGAAGTCACATTCAGAGACAAAAGAGGGAGATCCAGGCAAACCAAGTAGCAACAGCACACTAGTCCCTAAAACATGTCTACACAAGCTAGTCAGTATCGCTCTCCGTGACCACGGAACAACTGCCCAGCCTTATAGATGAGGAACCGAGGCACAGAAGGCTAGGCCCATGCTGGGCATTGATGAACATACCCCCAATTAACCCCATAGAGAGTAATTAATCCCAGTAAGTGTAACTTGCTCACCACTCTATTCTGAATGTCCAGTGTGGCCAGAAAAGATATGCTGGAAGGAGGAATGGAAAGCCAACACTGCCAGGGAGGTCCAAGGGTACCCAGCTCAGCCCACAAGCAACCAGGCGGGGATTCGCATCCCCCCTGGGCCAGCGGGGCGGCAGCTCTCACCTCTCTGGGACGCTCCAGCTCTGTCTGTAGCACCTGTTTGGCCAGCTCTGTCTCGATGAGCCTCTGCCGAAGCCCCTCGTTCTCCTCCTCCAGCCTCATCCGCTTCTTCTCCACCACCTCCAGCTCCTTATGAAGCCGCATGGAGATGTCCTTAGAGACCTGAGCCAGGGTGGGCGAGAGACAGGGCATGTTCAAGCTGGAGGAGGGCATACCTAAGTCCCAGTGACCATTCCACCTCAGTCACAGGGTCACCTCATCACCCTCACTCAGCAGATAAGGAAACTGAGGCACAAGATGTCCCAAGACTCACCAAGAGCCATGAATCCAGGGATAAACAGACCCCAAACCCAAACCCAGGCACCCTAGCTCCCAGTGTTGCCCCCCCAAAAGCTGTGATGATCTTGTTCTGTTCTTACAGGTGCTTTATATTCAGCAGGGGGAGCCTGTGAGGGGAGAGAGTTGGTTTGGAAGCCCAGCACATAATGGGCGGCATGTAACCCTCAGCAACTCATTTACTGGCCCCAGTGCCTCAGTGTTCTCAGCTTGTGTAAAATGGGCACAGTGGTAGCAGGACAACCTCGGGGCCGACAGGAGGATCACATCAGCTACTGCTCACAAAGACTTCACCCGGCGCCTGCCACAGTGAGTGTCTGGTGAGCTGTGGCTGCTGCTCCCAGGAACCAATATCCAGAGACAGGCATGACTTGCTGGAGGTCACAGTGACCCTGAGGCCTGTTCTGGGATATAGAACATGCTAGAATGACAACAGCTAGGCAAGTGTCCAAATCATCCCTTGGATGTGGCTAACTGAATGGCAGTCTCTAATCCTGGGTCCAGGCTCAGCAGGGAAAGCACCTCAGACCCTGGAGGATCCCCTCTGTCCTGCCCCTGAGCTGGGGGGGGGAGGGAGAGCGCTGGGAGGGAGCCTTCCTGAGCTGGTAAAATGCAAATAGATGTTATCCCCAGGTAGACTGGGACACCTAGATGCTGCTGGTCCTGCCCTCTTTACATAAGCTCAGAAGTGACTTTCTCAGGGTCACACACAGCAAGTGTGGCTGGGCTGGGCTGGACTAGGACTCCCTGCAGTTTGGAGGGACCAGCATAGCCAGGATCTCCCAGGACTCTGAAGGCTTTGCCAGCAAAACCTGTGTGGCACAGATAGCCCAGCACCCAGGCCTGCCAATGTCGGAAATGACCATGTACCTCCTCCCTCTGGAAGGGAAGAGGCCCTCCCTGGCTCTGCCCACTGCCTGGGCCCAAGCCCAACGCAGCACAGACCCCTTTGGCAGTCGGGGAAGGCCAGGAAAAACAACAGTTGAGAGGAAACTAAGCATGGTTCTCCTCCCTTCTCTGCCCACTGCCCCCTTCAGCCTGAAGATCTCTGAGGATGCCACACAGAGGCCCACAAGCCTCCCCTGTAGCCACTCTGGTCACGAAGCTTTCCTCACCCATAAAGTAGGGTGGTCAATCCTTCAATATAAGAAAAATATTTTGCAGAGAAGAAAAGTAGACTCAAGCTCAGTGCCAGCATTCACTGGCTATGTGGTCAGCAGTAAATGGGTGGCTACCCTGCTCATGAGGGCTGCTGGAGGGAATAAATGGCATCCGTGGTGCTTGGGTGGTGGCTGGAATCCAGAAGGTGATAAAAAATACAGGGCTTCTTATTTACTATTATTTTCAAATAATCCACTCTGTTTCACGTATTACAAAGTTGCATTTATTTCATAGTTCCATGGCCCATTTTTGATTGTGTAAAATACTTAAGAACCACCAGAGCTGCACAAAGACCACCAGTTCAAGGAACCATCTATATACAAGGATTTCTATTTCAGACTGTGCTGGGAATGAACTTTGGACTTTTGTGCACACCAGGCAAGTACTCTCCTACTCAGCTACATCTCCAGCCAGACAACATTTTTTTTTCTCCCCAGCCTAGTCTTGAGTTTGCTACTATCCAGGGATGGCCTTGAACTTCTGATCTTCCTGCCTCTGCCTCCCAAGTGCTGGGCTAAGAGGCGTGTGCCACCTTGCTGAGTCTATGCAGTGAAGACCAATGCCAGGGCTTCGTGCCTGCTAGGCAAGCCCTCTGTCAGCTGAGCTACGCCTCCAACCCAGCCACAAAAGCATTTTTAACACATTACCAATTATTGCTTCACCTCTTTGCATTGATTTTATCCACCTTGGCCCAGGCTATGGCTATAGTCCCCAATGTGGGGCTTATCGAGTCACTCAGGAGGCCCTCTCCTCGGCAACATTCCATTTATTCATTCATCTTGCCTTGGCGCTGGGGTGGAAGTGATGGACCACAGAGACCAAGGCCATGCCTATCTGGATTCATTCACACGTGTGAATTCAGGGCTCGGCATATACTAAATGCCTAACAAATGCTTGTTGGATGAACAAACAAATCAGGGTCCAGTACATGATGAAGGAGTGGCTGGCTGAATATTTGTGGGGAGCTGCCCCTGCCCCACTGTCCACAGAGGGCTACTAGGGCCAAGGGTCCTCTCCCAGACATGCTTCCATGGGGGGGGGGGTGAGGGTAGAAGGTGTCCCATATCCACGATGGCCTCCACCTGGGAAGCCCATGAGAGTTCCTGGATCCTCTCCTTCTCCATGGACTCCCTGCCTGTCCCCACAGATTCCCTGTGCCCATGTTCTCCCCACTCCAGTGCCACATGTTAAGAAGCTCCACCCTCTCCCAGAAGCTGCAGAATTCCAGACAGAGAAGTCCGAAAGCTCAGATCCCTGCAGTGTTTTGCAGCCTCCATGAGGGTCAGGAAGCAAAGGGCACCACAGCTACCAGACTGAGCAACAGGAACCAGGGCCTGGCCCTGCCTTCCCCTCCCAGGTTCCCAGTGGTGCCAGGGCCTGGGCTCTCACGGGTCATTTCTAGAACCAGTTAGCGCCTCCCCGGGCTCTCACCATAAGCTTTTCTCATCCTCTGGACACATTTTATTACTGCTTTGAGGCTCAGAAAGGAAACCTCAGTTGCCCAAAGTCACATGACTGGGGAGGTACCAAGCATGAGTCAACTCTAAAGCTGCTGCTGTGGGGGCAAGCTTGAAGGCATACAACAATGAAGGATGAACTGTCAAGAGCGAGTCCCAACATGGCCTAGTATGTCAGAAGGGCCTACAGGGCCCCATGCGCCTGTCTCACTGAGCCCCACAGTTACACCCAAAGGAGGGGGCCTGGAGCCCCAGAGAGGAGAAGCAGCTGCAACATCAGTCCGGACACAGGGCAAATGCCTGAAGCACAAACAAATGTGCTCAGCCATGAGGTCACTGTTTACAGTGCCGACCTTGGTCCCCGCCGAAGGCCATCCGCAGTGGATGGCCTCCAGCTCCTGGGTACATCAGCTCTAGGCTCTGATCCTTGGATTGCGGTATGTCCCCAAGGCTGTGATCTTCAGGGAGGGAGATGGAAACTGTAAGCAGCATCCCAGGCCAGTAGCGTCTTGAGCCATGTGTGACCCAGTTCTCTCAAGAATTACATGATGGGAGTATCACCCCATTTTACACAGAGGGAAACTGAGGCTCTGAGGAGAAATGATGCAGGTTACCCAGGACACAGAGCCAAGGCCAGAGCATCCTAATCTAAGGATGGGGTACATATTACTGATGTGTTCTGGGACCTTCTAGGAGAAAAGCAGAGGGATCCCAGTGTCCCCACCCATGGCACCCTCCTATCATGTGCTCAGGTGACTGGTACCTCACCCATCACACAGCACTCTCTTTAGTAATTTCATTTTATATTCATAAAAACCTCTACAGGGAACTAAACTTATCTCCATGTGCCAGAGGGGAAACAGGATCAGAGATGTGAAGCGACTTACCCAAGGCCACACAGCCACAAAGAGGCAGCATTCACAGGTGGCATTCCATTAGCCCTCCCATCCTCATCTTACCATCCTGCTGGGGGCCGCGGACCTTGTTAACTGTGAACCAGCAAAAAGTCAAAGAGCCTGCGAGGGTTGCTATGGGGTGGGGTGGGGGGACCTCAATAATAACACATGTGCCCAACAAAAACCACTGGAGCTCAAAAGTCCTGCAGGGCACCGGGCCAAGGAGCCTGCCGAGCAAGGGAGGAATCCCTAGGCATACCCTTCCAATCCCTCTCCACCTGGTTCCCTCAGCCTGCCTAGTGGAAGTCAGCATTCTAAGGACCTCCAAATTGCGCCTAACATTCCTAGCACGCTGGGGCGAAGGGTGACGGCGAAGCTGTGGCTGAGCCAGAGC